TTTGAGAAGCACTGATCCAAATAAAGTGTTCTAAAAGATGGAGCTAGTATGAAATAAGGTGGTAGTGGAGACAGACAGAAGTGGATGAACTTGGCATATATTTAGGAAGTAGGGTCCACAGGGCTTGTTCGTGGTTAGATGGGTGTGATGGTGCGGTGGGAAGGAATCAGGCATGTTTCTGAGGTTGGTAGCTTGAACCAGTGGATGGCTGTAACAGGACTGCAATGGGATGTGAGCAGGGTGGGATGAACAGATTGTAGTGAGAAGTCATAAATTCTATCTAAAATTTAAATAAACTATTTTTAAAATGTCAGTCACAATGCTTGACATAAAGTTGATTTTCAATACATAACATTGGTATTGCTGTTATGACTACTTTTACTTTCAAAATTGAATAGTCCTTATCACTCCACTCTGCCAGAGGTAACCTCCCAGACTTTTTATTCAGCAGCCATACTCCAAGGTTAGGAATTCTTTTTGCATGTACTAGAAAACTTAGCATTTTTATAATGTGATCCAACAGATAGGTATGGACAAGGACATTTTATAGATATAAATCTCATGGTATGAGTGGGTAGGGGAGGGGCAAAAGGAGAAAAAGTTCTAATTCATAGAGTTACTACCTGCACTTTCACACACAACTTCATAGCTACCGTATTAAATAGCTGGATTCTCCCAGTTAATGAGATAAATAACTTACCCAATATCTTATAGAAACCTGAGTGAAATTCAAACTCAGCTCTGTCCTGAGTCCATTATATTTGTGCTGCTGCCAAACTCTACCTTCACTGCCAGGTATCATGTCCTAGGGCTTGTCTGGTGGTCCAGTGGCTAAGAATCTGCCTGTCATTGCAGGGAACAAGGGTTTGATCTCTGGTCTGCAAAGATCCCACACTCTGCGGGGCAGCTAAGGCCATATGTTGAAACTATTGAAGCCGATGTACCTAGAGCCGGTGCTCTGCAACAAGAGAAGCCACTGCAATGAGAAGCAGAATGGCCCCCAATTGCCGCAAATAGAGAAAGCCTGCGTGTAGCAGTGGAGACCCAGCGCAGCCAAAAAATAAAAATAATGCATTTTTAAAAACTTGCTAGTTGAGAATCAAAATCAAAATCATGAAAAAAAAAAAAGATGTCCTAAATAGGCTGCAGGCAACACCTTGTAACTTCTAGACTACTGGCTTTTAAATTTGTAACCCTGCCACATAGTCAGAACCACTTTTTCACAAAGCAATCCAGTATGTGCATTTATATGTGTATGTGTGTATGTATAGACTTCTGTGCTCCATGTATTGTGCAGCTGTGTGACTAAGATTTGGGCTTCCCACGTGTCTCAGTGGTAAAGAATCCACCTGACAATGCAGGAGACTCGGATTTGATCCCTGGGATGGGAAGTTCGCCTGGAGAAGGAAGTGGAAATGTTCTTGCCTGGAAAATCCCATGGACAGAGATACCTGGCAAGCTGCAGTCCATAGGGTTGCAAAAGAGTCACGCATGACTTAGTGACTAAACGACGACTAATTTTCCAAGAAATAACACTTATTGAGATAGGTGTATTTCCAGTATTTACTTTCACTGAATGCATTCTAATAGTTCATTGCAATAAATGAACTATTATCAGAACCCAAAGAACTGATTTCAGTCAACTTTTGGGTCTCTACTAGATGTCTAGAAAATCCTCTTCTAGGTCCCTTTCTGTCCTTGGAATTCACTTACCGATGTCATGACGATTCCAGTGAGTTGGATGAGGGAGAGCCTTGATGGAAAGACAAAAGGATTCCTATGTGTTCAGTTCAGTCACTCAGTTGTGTCCAACTCTTTGTGACCCCATGGACTGCAGCACATCAGGCTTCCCTGTGTACCAGCAACTCCCAGAGCCTGCTCAAACTCATGTCCATTGAGTCAGTGGATAGGTTCCATATCACATCTTTAATGGTGAATCTACACTTGCCCACCTTACAGAGCTTTGTGGGAATCAAATACATTACAGTGTAAGTGAAAGAATTTTTTACAGTACTGAAGTCATCTGACTTTGAGTCTGCTCCATGTCCCTTTGTTCATTTGGAGTGATCATTCAAGTTCTCCAGAGCCCATTTCTTCATCTTCAATATGAGGGATTTGATCCAGATCATCTTAAAGGCCCTTTTCCACCCTTATAGGGATATAAGTCTATTATAAAAAGCTCTTTGCGAATGGTACCCTAGGGGACTCTGAAATAGTATGATCATGATCATGATGTTGCTGATTATTCTTTATATTTTGTTAAAAAACCCTTGAAGGAATTTTTTTGGAAGAATTGACTGTGGAGAAAAGGCTCAATTTGGGAGAAGTAATCAGAATCATTTTGAGAAGAAGCTTCATGAAGTTGATCAGTGAAAAGGTTCGGCTTCATTTTTCAAATGTCAAAAAAATTGTGTTCTATAAGAAGAAAAATGACTGCTCAGAATTTCATATTTATGTACAGAGAGGAAAATTACAGGTACCAACATTTCCTCCTCAAATGTATTATTTATTTCCTTATCCATTTATTAGGCAGCACCAGGAAAAGGACCTCAAATATCTAGGGTAGCTTGATTCTCTGATTGCTAAAATGATGGCTAAGATTTAATTATATTGAGATGTGTTTGTGTTGTTGCTAAATAGTACCTGTCTTTAGATGACCCTGAAATGTAATATCACCTCTGAGGAGGTAGATGGCAATTAGTGTGGCCTTGCTTCATCTAGGATGGGGAGATAGAAATGCAGAAAAGTTCATTGCTTTGCCCTCAGGTCCTCTGATGAGTCAGGAAGAAAGACTCATGCTTGGCACTGGAGACTCATGCTCCCACCATCCTTCTTGTTTGGCTTCATGCTCAGTCCCTTGCATAATGTGTTTATGAAGCCCCAGTAGAAGCAGCACCGTCCTTTGTATTTTTTTGGATTGAGCAAGATGTTGTTGTTTAGTTGCTAAGTCATGTCTGACTCTTTGCGACCACATGGAGGACCAGGCTCCTTTGTTTATGGAATTTCCCAGGCAAGAATACTGGAGTGGGTAGCTATGTCCTACTCCAGGGGATCTTACTGACCCAGGGATTGAACCCCTGTCTCCTGCATTGGCAGGTGGATTCTTTACCAGGAAGCCACCAGGGAAGCCCATTAAATAAGGTACCACATGGCTAATACACTGAAATTCTTAAATATATGTAAGATCAACTCAATGGTTATTTTACCTTTTTTTCATCATTTACTTATTTTCATGTCTTTATAGAGGTGATAATGATGATGATGATAATTTTAAAAAGCCCGGCACTGCTTTAATGAATTTATTTGGATTCCCAGAATCTTAGAACATGCATCTGGCACCAGCATCAGCCCAGGAAAGCACTAGGCCTGGTCATACTGACTCTTCGCCCAGCATTCCACTTCAGCACAATGCCTTCTGACTATCAAGGGAGAGCTTTCTCATTCCTTTTCTTTCCTTTCAAAAATATTGTCATCAGGGATTATGCTTATAAATTTAATCACCTTTGGAAAAGTTTTTTTTTCCCTTCCAATTTTGAACTTTCCTCTAAGGGCGCGTCATTTATTGGATTTTGGTTTAGGGAACAGATGCTTTAGGGAAGGGATTTCAAGGACTTGCTCTTTTGCCTCTCCTTTTATGTGGAACCAGAAGGAAAACAAAAACAAAAATACCAGGGAGGTGCCCCAGGGAGCAGTCTCTCCGTGGGGCATCTCACTTGGGTTTTTGAAGCACTCAGCCCTTTAACAGAGAGGCGGTTCCTCGTGGTTGCTGAACTGCTTCACAAAGTGATCAATCACCCGATCCAGTGTGGATCCTCCTGTCCCAGGGAAAGTTGAGTGGTTTTTAAAGAAACAATCACAAAAGGAGGAACACCTCTATAGGGCTATTTCCCTCATAAAATAAATCCGTCATGGATTTTGCCCTTAGAAAAACACACACGGGGCCCCAAGTGTGCTGGCTTACTGGTTACAACCATAGCACTTCCTTTTGAAAATCCGCCTCCCCCCGCTCGCCCACCCCACGCCGGTCCTTACATTAAAGAAAACATTAAAACCCAAGGAGCATTTCCCCTAAATTGCTGACACCCCTAGCAATGCAGGGCATTGCCGGCACCCGGGAACCAAAATGTCCCCAGTCGTAATAAACATAATAAACACGAGTCAAACAATGGCTCGTGCCCAAGCCTTCACACTTGTTTTTCCAAGTCTCGGCTGCCAGAGGCAGAGGGTTGTAATTCTTGAGGTCGCTGGACTTCGGGAGGGGTGAGGTGTGCGCTGTGACACTCACTGCTTGGGAACTCTTTGGGGTAGGACTCGCTTAAAGATTAACTTTCTCGAGTTTCTGGGACCAAGACTGCGGCGGTGACTGGCGTGATTGGAAACTTGTGCAGGCGGGAGGCTGCAGGCGGTCGCTCTTTCAACAGGCGATTTGTTCTCCTGTCTGTGGCTCGTTTCCATGCAAAGAGCCTGACATCAGAGCACCTTTTGTTGCTAAACGCTTTCTTTAGAGTCGAGGGGACAGAGTCATGTGGAGCTGGAAGAGCTCATTTTGAAGAGAGGGGGCCGGGGAGTTCCCTCCAAGTTCCCGAGGCAGCTCGGTCACCCGGCGGGGCCCTGCCCAGACGTGCTGGAGGCACGGAGTCGCGTGCCCAGTTAGTCGGTCCCGGCCGCAGAAGGAGACGCCTTTGCAGCGCCGTGCATCGCTGCTGGGGCCGCCAGAGTTCCCCGCCGTGAAACTCAGTGGTGCGAACTTTGCCTCCTGCTGCCCCGCCGCCGAGCAGAGCCCGGGCTGGGAAAGTTTCCGGACTTGTCAGTCGCGCGGCCCGCCGCCACCTAGAGCCGAGGAGCGGGCGCCTGCCCCGGGGGGCCCCGCCGGGTCGGAGGCCGGGGCCGCGGGGGATGCGGCGCGGGGGCGCGGCTCGGTGGTGACGCGGCGGGCGGAGACCGGCTCTCGGCGCCGGGCGCGCGCGGCTGCGGGGCCAGGGCGCCCCGGGGACCCGGCCATGGAGGAGGACGCGGGAGCCGCCGGCGCGGCGCTCGAGCCGGAGCCCGAGCCGGCGTCGGAGCCCGAGGTGGGCGCGGGCATGTCCGAGGCGTTCTCCCGGCTCTGGACCGACGTGATGGGCATTCTGGTGAGTTACCTGGAGGAGCGAGGAGGGCGGGTCGTGGGTCCCCCCGGAGCAGGGCCGCCTCTGGGGGACCTCGCGTTCCTGCGCGCTCGCCGACTCGGCCAGCCCACCCCTTGGGGGTCGTCCTTCTCCGGCTCTAGTTCTTAAGGGGTTAAATCCACACGGTTTAGGATTTCAAAAACGTAATTAAAAAATAACCAGCCACAGATCGCATCAAAGATAGATGTTTTAAACAATCGGGTGTGGTGTTGCACAGTGTAATCTGGGACACCTGCTGAGAAGTTGGTGTGGAAAAAGACCGAGGAAGAGTCTTTCAAAGACTGGATGTAAATAAACCGTGTTTGGCTGCTGTGGATATGGGAAGAGGCTGATTTTACTGATGTTTATCTCTGCACCATTTGTTGTCTGAGCAGGAGAGGAAAACAATTACCTCCTTGCTCGGAACCACAAGAAGTTTACATACTCTGCAGTTTTCAATTTGTAGAATTACAGGATATTTGTTATGTGTTTGGGGCTAAAAACAATAGGGCTTATTTTACTAAATCTGTATTGTCATGTATTTTGAAATGTCCAGTAACTAAACCCGCCCCTGGATTTGGCATAATTTCTGAAAAATAGTTTTTAGGCATCATGGAAGATGAAGCTTTAACTTGTTCAGGGTTCAGTGCCTTGAGGAGTTAGATTTATTTTGATGGAGCTGTAGAGAGGCAGGTAGACTGGAATCAGATGGGTAGTAAGTCAGGCACCTTACTCCACATATAAAAAGTCAACTTCAATGCAAAGATTTGGATTTGGCTGTTGTGGAAGCCAATTGGAAGAGGCTCTGTATTTACTTGGAGTTTTTTTTTTTAAATAGAAGGAGGTGTAGTTTGTAAAAAGAAGCTCTTCTTTGGGAATGATGAAACCACTTTTACCACAGTAATTCAGCTCTTGGGCTTTGGAGTGAGTGAGCCTGGATTCAGATCCCAGTCCTCCCATTGACTGACTGCATGATCTTGGCCAACGTACCCAGCTGAAGTGGTATTCTATTTCTCACCTGAAAAGTGAAGCAAAAAAGATCTGCTTCTTGGATTTTCTGAGATTTAGCTAAATTGATCTATAGCTAGTGCTCAGCATACATGTGTTAATAAAAGGGGGTGGCAGAGGATGAGATGGTTAGACGGAATCAGGGACTCAATGGATGTGAGTGAGCAAACTCAGGGAAATAGTGAAGGACATGGAAGCCTGGCATGCTGCAGTCCATGGGGTCGCAAAGAGTTGGATATGATTGAACAACTGAACAACAGTAAGTAATAGCTGTCTATTTGTTTTTTTCTTGCAAATAATCTTGTGGCTCATCTTTCCAGTGATCCTAAGTCCCAGTTATTCCATCTTCAGGTGTCCTTTGGTATTAATGATTATTCCTATGCAGAGAGCCAGGGAAGATTGGTCAAAGATTTCTACCTGCTCCTCTCACTCTCTGATATTTTATTTTACTTATTTTTTGAAAGCAGATTTGTTCAGGGAAATACACACTCTATAGAGTGTGGGCCATCTCACAAGGGCGCTCCAATATTTTTAAAATATATATTGAAAAGCACTTCAAGTTATGCTGTTTGCATTTTCTGAACATTACTGATGAATACGGGGCTTCAGTGAAATTCCAGAAAACTCAATGGACATATATAAAAGTTGTGGTGCTAGACCGTTTTTTAAGTTCATCCAGCAGAAGCTTATCTTGTTATTTCTTGCTTAGGTCTCACTCTAAATTTTCAGTCACTGAGAAAATTGGTTTGCATCTCTTGGGTAGGGTGTAGGCTGGGGAGGGAAGGGTTGGAGGGGCTCACTTATATTGAAGTGTGGAGCTCAGGGTCGTTTAGGGGTGGGGGTGGCATGGAGCACTTTCCGAAGAGGGGCTCTCCCTTCCCTGGCAGATTCCAGCACTGTTGGGTCAGTCGTAGCAGAGTGTTCTTTGGCTGAGTTAGAAGATGGGGTGGGGCTCCAAAAGCCCAAACCTGTTATTCAAAAGGCTGATGCAGGAGAAAAGAAAATATGTGCTTCTTACAGAGCTAATATTTAGTTCGGTGTGAGGCTGAAAGATGGTAATGATTGTCCTCAACAGGTAGTGTTCACTCCTGCTTTCCCATCTTTTATAAGATCTTCTTTTCCTTTAAATCTTGGGCATCAAGATTTTTCCTTAGGGAAAAGGCAGACACAGAGGACATATCTTACCTCTCCTCTGTATGGGCCTGTGAGAGATCACTAGGGGAAAAGGATCTTTATTCTGTGTTGAGGATGCTGTCATCCAAGTATTTATAAGAAACTATCTTTGCGAAAATATATCATGGCACAAAACTGACATCAGACTTTGTTCTTACAGAGATAAAAGACACTATTTTCTTCATTTTGTATTTAAAATATGGGATTTTACAACAATTTCTCAGCCTAGATGGGTGAAGTGACTTGGGCACTGAACACTTCGCTAGAGGCAATGTCAGACTGCACCCCAGGTTTCTGACCCCCACCAGTCAGGAGCATGTTGCCATGATGCTCCATAGTTAACTGTCCCAGATCAACTTAGTAGAAATGTGATTACATCTGGTATTGTAGGCAAAGGCAATTTGGAAGTTTGTGGACCTCTGGTAAAGAATCTGCCTGTCAATGCAGGAGACACAGGAGACTCAAGTTCTTTCCCTGGGTCCAGAAGATCCCCTGGAGAAGGAAATGGAAACCCACTCGAATATTATTGCCTGGGAAATACCATGGACAGAGGGGCCTGGCAGGCTACAGTCCTTGGGGTCGCTACAGAGTTGGACACGACTTAGCGACTAAACAACAACAACAACAACAATTTTGGAAGATTCTTTTACCCAATAGCTCAATTGGTAAAGAATCCGCCTGCAATGCAGGAGACTCCTGCATCCCTGTGTTTGATTCCTGGGTTGAGAAGATCCCCTGGAGAAAGGAAAGGCTACCCACTGGAGAAATCTTGGCCTGGAGAATCTCAAAGAGTCAGACAGGACTGAGCGACTTTCACTTTTTTATTATAGAACTTCGGAGGGGAGTTGAGGTAGAAGGGGATTTATACATCCAAGCATCATACTTAGCAGATTTCAGGCACAGTTGCTACTTTTATTTTTTAGATTCTTCTTAGTGTAAAAATGTGAACTTCAAATCCTATTAGGGTTTTTAATTAAATGAGCACAGCTCCTCTTTGCCGAAGGGGCAGTATAACAAGGAACACTCACCATCTGTCTCCTGTTCCCCTCCCCCTGGCCCCCCAACCTGGACCTCCCAGCCCCGAACCCTGACCCCTGGTAGATTTTGTTGGTTCTGACCCAGGGGAGGGTGTTACCCCAGAGGCATTGATCTCAGTAAATACAGGGTATCTGAGTTCATTAGGGCCCATTTTACATTCAAATTAATTCAGTCTTGCACAGTTCGGCACCAACTAGTTGCTTTTAGATAGTTGTTAGATAGTTGTTAACAAAACTTATTTAGAGAAGTAACAGCATAATTTATGGCCTGAAAATGAGTGTACTGGCAGGAATAAAATGCTAACAAGTGAATATATAAATAGAGAACCCCTAGTTACTATGGATTGTGAAGACCTAGAGGGCATGGTCCGTATTTTACTCAATTTTCTATCTCCAGGATTTGGGACTCCCTGATTGGCTGCTGAGAACATGATTTTGTTGAGTGAAAAAGGAAAAAAACATGTACTCTTAAATGCAGGAACCACTTCAAAATACAGTTCTGTATACTCATTCTCTGGCTTATAATGGGGTGCCTTAATGAAGAATAAATTCTCTTTATGCTGAAGCTACCACTTGGATAGTTCCGCCATGCAAACTCAAATCCTGGCACTTCCACTGAAAGCGTATTGGCAAATTGGGAAATGTCTGTAAACCCTGAGCAATTAAACCGTGGTCTTCTAGTGAAATACTCTATTCTGTTCTCTAACTCGGCAACATATGGTCTGCTTGGGTTTTCAAAACCTGACACCTTTCAGGATGACGTTCTTAGACTTCTGTTGAGATGTACAGAACAAGTTAGACTCCTCTGGGAGTTTTATTTTTATTTTTACTCCCTTGTTATTCAGTTGCTCAGTAATGTCCAACTCTTTGAGACCCCATGGACTGCAGCACACCAGGTTTCCCTGTCTTTTACTACCTCCCGGAGTTTGCTCAAACTCAAGACCATTGAGCTGACAGACGATGCCATCTAACCATCTCATCATCCTCTGTTGCCCTGGTTACAGACAAAACATTCCATTTTCTATTTTGGGGTGGGGGAGCCTAGTTTTGTTTTTTTTTTTAAGAGTAGGAATTGTTGAGGTTGTTAGAAGAGGTGAATCATATTTTCAGCCCCAAGTATCCACTTGGTAAATTGTGATGGTTCGTAGTTTTCCTCCAAAATTGGAAGAAGCAGGCATTTAAAACTTCTTGTTCGATGGAAAGGGAGAGGAAGGGAGTTAGTAAGTGACTATTGTTTGCTAGATCCTGCAAGATGCACCTCCCCCAAACCTTACATTTCCCTGCTGTGTTCCTACAGTTTACACCCATTTCCTAGCAATGCTTAGAAAATATCCATTGTGTAGACAAACTACACAGATGACCTTCCTCTCTTCTAGGTCCTATGCAGGCTACAGAAAAGTGTAGTAGGTTTATTTAAGTTAATAAACATAATAAATAAACTCTTTAGGTTATCTGCTAGGTTTATTGTATCTTGCTGTTTACTAAAGTCCTCTTCCTTTAAAAGACGCTCCTTCACTCTGTATTTAAGTGTGGGGAGGGAAGAGGCCTGTGAGATCCCTAGGGGGCTTTTAAAATGCAAACTCCTGTGTACCGACCAGCGTGTAATTTACATATTGTTGGGTGGCGTCTTACGGTAAGCCCTTTAGCTAATGACTTAATTTTAGGTCTTGGAATCTGAGCGTCAGCCCTCGTGTCAAGTATTCTGACTTCATCTTGATTGTATATTCCTGTTAGGCAGCGGAAAGCCTATGGCGTTTACATAAGTAG